TTTTACTTTTGGTTGTTTTGAATAATCTATGTTTAATTCTTTGCCCTTGATTTATTTCAGAATTTTGATGGTCTGCTGAATTAATCAAAGTTGATTCTTTAATAATTCCATTTGTTTGTTTACTTTTCTAGTAAGACTTATTCTTTCTCACGGTCCTATGATTGTGTTTGTCTTGATTCCTGTCAGTGTGTAAAATTCCTTTAAGTATCTTCTGCAGTGCTTGTTTAATGGTACTTAGTTACTTTAGATAATGCTTTTTTGCTATGGCTTGTATCTAGATGTCCCCCCAAAGCCTCACGTGATCATAGGTGAGGCTATTTAAAGGTGACTGGAGTAGGGTATGTGATACTAGGATTAAGAATGCCACACCCTGGGTGTGGGTGGTATCACCCAAAAGGCAGGTAGGTTGGATGGCATATAAAGGGACATAAGGAAGTTGGTCTGCTCCTTCACTGCCTTGCTGCCTTCTGCTCAACTTGCTTTACCACGAACTGCTTCTCCTCTGGGATTTCCTCTCCCGTGCCACCCTTCCTGAGAGCCAGCTAACTATGGATTGCAACCTCTACAAATGGTGACCTCTGCAACCTCTACAAACGCTGCAGAACAAAATAAACCTTTCTTCCTTTAACTGGGTATTGGGTATTTTATCTCAGCAATGCAAAAAGTAACTGACACACTTATCTTGGAAGATTTTTATTTAAAGTATTGATCTATTGTACCTTCTGAAGAATAACTTTATCAGTTATAGTAAGACAGGTTATTTTTTTTTCAGGATTGAAATACCTATTACTGTGCCTTCCTCTACATTTGAGTTTGTGCTAAGAAATCTGCTGTCACTGTGATTGGTTTGCATTTATAAAGGCTTGGCTCTTCTTGCTGACAGTTTTCAATAGCATTTCTTTGTTTGGTACTTTTGGCAGTTTAACAATGATACGATATAGAGATGTTTTTTTCTAGGTATGTCTATTTTGGCTTCTAAAAATTCTTGTTCCTGAGTGTACACATCCTTCCCAAGATCTGGGAAATTTTCTGCTGTTACTTTAGTGAACATATTTCTAAGCTTTTAGTCTGCATTTTGTCTTCTTCATTTAAATTGATTATTCATAAGTTTGGTCCCTTAATTGTGTCACACAGTTCTTGGATGTTTTGTTCATAATATATTTTTATTACCCTCTGATTGTGATAATTCATTAAATTTATCTTTAAGTCCTCTATCTTTTGGATAATTCATCAAATTTATCTATAAGTCTCCTATCTTTATCTTTCCTCTACTTAATCTAATCTATTTGTGAGACTTTAAACTGAATTTTTATTTAACTTATTGAGCTTGTCATTTCCAAGATTTCTATTGTTTCTCTTTTAGAGTTTTTCTTTATTAAATTGCTATTAAATTTATTTTCAACTTTTTAATTGCTATTTGATTCTTTAATTCCTTCATCTATTTATTTGTAGCACCTTTGAAGCATTGATTATTTTAAAAAATTATCTTTTGAATTATTTGTCTGGTGTTTCATATACTTTGATAAATTTAGATTCAGTTACTAAAGAGTTGTGAATCTTAGGAAGTTATGTTGCCTTATATTTTCGTATTTCTTTTGTTTGTGTGTTAAGATTTGTACACCTGTAGAAATGAATAACTCTTCTACTTTCATAGGGTTTTCTTGGTTTGTTCATTTGTTTGTTCATTTGTTTTCTTTTTGAGGCAGTGTCTCATTATGCAGTTCAGGCATAAAGAGCCACTGTAGAAAAAAAAAACACCACAAGTGGCTCATGAGTGCATTCTTAATGCCCAGCCTTCTCCTAAGAGTTTAATCCCCAGAACAACTCAGAGGAGAAAACAAGCCACAGTAACAATAACACAAACATGAACTGGATAGAGAAATAAATAAATAAATAAATAAATAAATAAATAAATAGAAGCAACAACCATACTACCAATAACAATAGAAAAGAAATGGACAAAAATAATATAGAAAACACTAAAAAGATAAGAATTCATAAAGATAAAAGTAACAATAAAACAATTTTGAAAAGAGATAGGGAAAAGCAAGCTAAAGAAGAAGTGTTTTTAACAAAGGGAAACAGGAAAAGGATGGTATAAGAGATCAATATAATTTTAAAAATTTACAAAAGTTAATATAATTCAATAGGACAAAGAGGAAAGAAAAAAAAGAATAATGAGTAAAAAATCTTCCTTCTAGCTGAAAGGCTGGAATGAGAGAAGGTTTTCCCGGGTCCTTAAGCAGTGGATTCACCAGGCATGGAGTGGGGATAATGACTGCAACTGGGCATTGTCGTATTTGCTCTCCTCCCTTCCTCTACAGATGTGTGCTGTACACTGGCTGAGGTCGGCCCTGCCTTCCTCCCAGGCCTGGACTGTTACTACTTCATGGGTGTGGCAGTTCTAACAATTTACTTCCCATGTTGCTTTCTTTTTTTTTAATGTACACCTCAAACATCAGCTAGCTGCAAATAGGCTCATGAGATGTGGGCAGAGTAGATGTACATTCACTCCAGAGGATGCCTCCATCCGTACATCCAGTGGTGTGGCAAATGTCCAAGGTGAGCCATGTCCCCAAATGCATTGGAGAATGGGGGAAACAAAAAATTCTATTGTTAAGGGAAAACCGTAGGAACATATTAGTCTACCAGCCTCATTCTTACTATTGTTTTATCCAGGCCCCTAAAACCACAAATGAAGAGACTTGCTCCTCACTGCGTAGGGTGGTGCCATGCACTACCGTGCCCTCCATAGCTTGAATTCCCTGCTGTTTCAACTTCTCTGGGGGTCTGTGACTGACCCCACCCTCCATGACTGTCTGTCCTAGCTATCTCCCATCCAGTCACTACAGCAGGCTGTCCCCTGATATGCAGAATTGTGTTGATTGATTCCCCAGGTATCTCAGTCCCAATCAGTAAGATCCCTCCCTAAATGGCTCCTGGTGATAAGAGTCCAAACTATGGTGCGCACTGTAGTGGATGTGACCTCCAAAGCTAGTCTACCATTCAAGAGAAGTAATGTCTTTGTTACTTTTCTTTCACTGCTAGGACAAAATACCCAATGCCCAAATTCAAGGAAGGAAAGTTTCATTTAGCTCACAGTCTGTGGAGGTTTCAGTCCATAATCAGCTGAGTCCAAGGCAGGGTAACATGATTGTGTGGCAATCACTCATGGCAGTGGAAGACAACAAAAGCAGCAAGAGCAAAAACGGAAAAAGCAAGCCTCTTTTCCTCTCTTACACTGTATGTAGGCTACCTCCTTTAGTGCAGCGGTAGCACGCACACTATCCCAGGGCCCTCTTCTTGCACAGGCAGAGGATATTTCAAAAGTGAGGACCAAGGTGTGCTACTGAGTCAAACTGGAAATGCTATAACTCAGGTTCCTGCCCCCCAATGACCACATGAAGCTTTGGGGAGGACATCCAGACACAAATCATAACAAGGAATTTTCAGACCACATCCCCACACTGGATTTAAAGTTTGCAAGAATCACGGCTATCACCAGAAGCTAGGATTTCCAGTCGGTTGGTTATCCTTGGGGCCACCAGTACTTTCCAGGATAACTTTGTGTCTGTAATGTCAGGTTTCCCCAGCTCTGACTACCCTCTGAGAGCTGAGCTTGCAGTCACGAACTGTGTCATGCTTTTCTCTGTGTTGCCTTTCTATTTTTCTGTAGACTTCTTTTCATTTTCCCTCAAAATAATACATTTTTAAAATAGTGTTTGCCGCCATCTTTACTATCAATTTATTGTTTCCATCTTAAAATAACTCTCTGAATAGGTCATTTTAATATTTACATAGCGTTTAATATTTATGTATTCTCTGTAATATTTATACAGTTTTTCTTATGAAACATTTTACACGGCTAGATGAATTCAAAGCAAATATGTGTAGTTACATATAAAACTTGTAACTTCTATTTGAAAGTACTGTAATTGAAGCTTCATTATGTGCATCCCTTTTCTTAACAGTTGTTTTCTGTTAATTCTTTGTGGTTTCCTTCATATATCATCCTCATCCCGTTCTAATGTAATATGTGTCATTATTTCTCCACCTTGCTTATCTTGTCTTTGTGTAGCGTGCAGTTTTCATAGATATATCTGTGACTACGCACCAGCGGGAATAAATTATAAACTCCAAATAGTGAAGCAACATATACACAGACTTGGGTGTCAGGCAGGTGGACCTGGGTTCAAATCACAGGTCTTCTAATTATCCCTAAGGAACCACATCTGTCAAATGTGAGTAATAAAAGACAAGAGTTAATGCACCAAGAGGACTTTTAGTCAGTAGTGGTAGTATTTTCATCATTACCACCCCGAGAGTATAATTCAAAGGAAATCATGGGTAAATACACTGGTGACCTGAGTCCATGGGAATTCACACTGGTAACCAGGTTCAGTGTTTGCTTACTTCTAAAAAATATTAGTATTCAAAATGGAACATCTTCTGTCATCTGAACAATATACCCACAAAAAGAGCTACAAAGAGAATCCATGAGGCTAGCCCACTTATTTCTACGCCGCCTTCAATCATTACCCTGAATGTTAAGAAAGCAGAAGGAAACTCACAGTAAAACAAAGGCAAACACACAAATGAAAAATCTTCAGTGAGGAATGAAAAGTTTCAAACATCTCACTGACTATAGTTCAGTGAATTTCTTGATTATTTAGGAAACCCATAGCTGGGAGGAAGGAAAGCAAAGCTGTCAGAAAATAATTTGGGAGCAATAAATGATTTTATCAAGAAAAATGTTTCCCTGGCCACCTACTTTAAGATGTCATAAAATGTCACAATTCAAGTTACAGAAGAATAATGTGTCACTAGAGAAAATTCTTTCTTTCTTTTTGTCTTTAGAGCCAAAGATGTGTTTCTCTTGCAAAAAAGAAGCTGGCAAAATATTTATGACCCTTGTTCAATGTTGCTATAGCATGCTGTTTGAAATTCACAGACTTGAACAATTGGATAAATATTTATCACTCTGCTTTCTTTCTTCCTAGGTACCTCCCATACTCCTTGATAAGCAGTTTTCTGAATTTACTCCCGACATTACCCCAATCATTTTGGCAGCCCATACAAATAATTATGAGATAATAAAACTTTTAGTCCAGAAAGGCGTCTCTGTTCCCCGACCCCACGAGGTCCGTTGTAACTGTGTTGAGTGCGTCTCCAGCTCAGACGTGGACAGCCTCCGCCACTCACGTTCCAGACTGAACATCTACAAGGCCCTGGCCAGTCCCTCGCTCATTGCGCTGTCCAGCGAAGACCCTTTTCTCACAGCCTTTCAGCTCAGCTGGGAGCTTCAGGAACTGAGCAAAGTAGAAAACGAATTCAAGTCAGAGTATGAGGAGTTGTCACGACAGTGCAAGCAGTTTGCTAAGGACCTGCTGGATCAGACGAGGAGTTCCAGAGAACTGGAAATCATTCTTAATTATCGAGATGACAATAGTCTGCTTGAAGAACAAAGTGGAAATGATCTTGCAAGACTAAAATTGGCCATTAAGTACCGTCAAAAAGAGGTGAGTGTTGACATCCGAGCACCTTAGATTCTCTTTGTTTAAAGTTTATTGGTACAATTTAGATATACACAATGATCGTATTCATCACAGGTAATTTTACATGTGTATGAAATATCTTGAGCCCTCTTTCTTCCCAATACCTTCCCTCCTCTTTTCAATCCCTCTTTCCCTCCTTATGTACAAAGCTTTGTTTCCATTTTATCCTTCTTTTATCATTTTTTTCTTTTCCCATCCTTTCTTTCCTTCTCCCCTCTCCTTAGTTCCGCTTTCTTTTGAATAATTTCTTCCTATTTCACCATCTTTACCATGAAGTAAACTTCTTTCTACCAAATTAGTTCTGAGTTTTACAAGCATTTGTTTTGCCCATATAAGTGGATGGCATTTATCGTTTGCCAAGTTAATATTCATCTTGGCTGAAGAACGGTGAAAAGTGGTTAAATAATTGGTAGTGGTTTTTGTCATCTGTGTTGAAATGTATGTACCTGTTTGTGATATAATGGAAATTTAATGAATTTTATAATCTCCATTCTGAGAGGTCCAGGTTCTGCCATTTGTGCTTTGTAACTTCAAAGGCTCACACATAGATTAACTTCTTGAGTGCATTTATTAGTATTCATTATATATTTATATATATATTTGAAATGTTTTCCTCACAGGTTTATGGGAAATGTAAAACATGTGGAGGCGTGTGAAGGCTTATAGAAAAGTATAAAGTATTATGAATAAAATGAATATTAGACAATATTAACTTAGAAAACACCTATAGCCCAACAGCAAGTGAAACTGCTAACACTGCTTTCTTTTCCTGCTGAGTTTGTTGATTTGTCAGGAGAAAAAATTTAAAGAAGTTATTTGTACGGTACTTTCTACAGATTGGAATAAAGAAGCCTCAGCCCTCTTACACATATCACTCAGCATGATTTATGTTTCCATCACAATTTGTGCTTGAAAGGGTTTTCAAAGAATGTTTACCTCTATCTCCAGAAAACATGGGCTTGCTTTCCGTTCTTGATTGACATTAATTATCTATTCTAGAACGATAGTTGGAAAAACTGTGTATAAGATGAAAAACAGTGATAAAAAGGAAGCGACTTCTGAATTTTAAAACGTATTCAGTTTCTTTTAAATCTGGCCCTTGTGTTCTTTCCCAAGTCTGACTGTTTTTGTTTAACGCTATCTCCTGAGTATTTCAAGTCCCAGACAACCTGAAATTATTTCAATAGATGAATTAATCTAACTGCTATAGGAGCCTGAAACTAACTGCAATAAAAGTTTCTTTAATATTGAAGGGAGCAGATCAGGTTTTCTGGGACCTGGAATACTCAGGAAAGAGCAATAAAGAGCCTGTCTTTCTGTATGCATTTCCCCTGCCTGAGAAACCACATATCCTAATTTAAGTCTGTGTTAACAATATTAATATATTTTCTTAGGTTCTTCTGTTTAAGACTTCAGAGCATAATATCTTTAAGGACAGAATAATTTTAATATGCAGCTGTAAGATGAACTGATGAAAAACTTCTTCTGATTTAAAATTCTGAAAGTACTTAATATGACCATGAAAAGTTATTCCGTTCATTCTTTTTAATGATGTGGGATTACATGGCCTTAGAATTAGGGCCTGATCTTCTTAATGATCCACTTTCAACACAGCAATATGATTTTCTTTCTATAGCCTTCTTTTGAGAGGTAGATTTAGGGACTGTCATATGAATATAAATCTGTGTTAATAACGTATCTGTTCAGAGTTGTTAATATTCTCTACAGCTGAGCTGAATGATGTTCCCAGGATGTTCGATTCACACAATAAAATGTAAGGTAGCAGACACCTCTGCTTACTTAGTGCAGTTCTGCTTTCTCTGCAGTGAATCAACTCAGCCCTGTTTTTGCTGAAGCTGATTCTGGTCCTGTGTTCATAGCTGGTTTAAATTTGTCTTTGGCTACAATGACTTTTGTGAAGACCCAGGAATGAACTGCTCATAAACTCATTATACACCTATAATGTAAACTATCAATGATACTTAGTCAATTCATGCTGCCAATTTGCATTGAAAAGATTCCAAGACTAAAATTTTAACATGAATTACTTTCATGGTATTATCCACTTATGTTTACCTATAAGTAATTTTCCTATTCTTAAGTCATTTACTTCTTTAATTCTTTGAACATATATTTCACGGAACACATTTTAGGCAGTGTGTGGAGCATAGGGAACTATATGATGAAGTATCTCTGCTCTTGTAGATCTTAGAGTCTATTCGGAGAGAAAATAAAACATAAAATATATATTTCTGTCTATTTAGTTTCTGATTCATTGAATATCTTCAGCCTTACTTAAATTGATTTCTTTGCTTAGACCGTTTTGTATGCTTTGCAAATAAACAAAGTAAGCTCAACTTTACTGAATAAAAAGCCACAGATCATTTAATCTCTAATTAGGCATGTTTGAAGTAAAGTAACAAAGGCATTTGATCATTTCTAACACTTCTGAGATGTTTATACTTTTTTTCCTAAAGCAAAATTGTAATTTGGAAGGATTATACACACTAATACTGCAAGAGGAAAGATAGCCACAAATATTGCATGTAACAAGAAAATGAGAATTAGCAATATCCTTTAAATGAAACACTTTTAAAAAGACATTACATTTGTATTTTTCCTTTCATTCTTTTTTGAGATTTCAAAGAAAAAAATTACAAGAAATTTCTTACATATCATTCTGGAGTGTCTCAAATTCAGTATCAAAGGGCATATTTTCTTTGGGCTGATAATTGTCCTAAAGCAAAGTAAGATTGTATTTCTGATGACACTACAGAAAGATCAGGAATAAGATTTTCACTCTCACGTACTGTTTGAATCCATAAGTTATGTTTCATTGAACATATTTCTGGATCATTCCAAAGTATTGACTTTGGCAAAACATGGTTTTAAATTTTCTAGTAAAATTGTGTGTCTTAAATAAAACTCTTTTAGCAAAAATGCACTGCTTTTTACCTTTTTATCTCACGTGTTACTTGGTTTGTTCTAAAATGTTTTGAGGTTTACCTTCAGTCTGTCTTTCATGCTTTAGAATGTCTTTTCAGGAACATCTGTACTGACAAAGCTGTGCTCCTTCTTTAAAACTTATTTCACATCTCCCCTCACCCACAGAGAATCCCATGAAGCAAATCCTTCTAAACACTGCCTGGGGTACGGGTCTTACTTGTACACATTAACTACTGCTTTATACCCTTACATTTTCCTCTCCTCTCTGCCCTGTGAGTGTCAAGAACACAACTGGTTTTTTCACCAATCACACAGTAGCACGTGATTAAAGAAGGTTCTCAGGTTGGGTGTGGTGCTGCAGACCTGTAGTCCCAGCTACTCAGGAAACTGGGTCAGGAGGATTGCATGAACTCAAGAGAGCTCAAGGTCAGTCTAAGTAACATAGTGAGAGTCTACCTCAATGGAAAAAAAGTGCTCATAAATAAATACACCTGAATGAAGTTGCAGAATCTCTCCATTTTGTACAGTTACCTGCATGTTTGTTTAACCTAATTACCTAACTGAGTCTAGAAAAATCTTCGATAATAGTCTTCCTGTAAATTCAGATATTAAAACACGTGATGTTATCAGGACTTAATTTCAGACTTGTTCTAGTACATCCATATGCATATTCATATCCCAGATGGGACAGGGTTCAGAGTGAGACCTGGAAAGGTGATTGGATCATGAGGGTATTCACCTCATGAATGGTTTAACCCATTAATGAATTCACAGGTGAATGGGCTGCACTATTAGGAAATACAGCCCCACTAGAGGAAGTGTATACCTGGGAGTGTGCCTTTGAAGGGTGTATATTGCCCCTGGCCCGTTCCTCTCTCCAGGACTCTTTCTTGATCTCTCCGATCCCTGGGTACTTCAAGATGAGGAGCTTTCCTCCACCACCTATTTCCTGGTATATTTTAACATGAAAGACTATTATCATCCAATTATTATTACACTGATAAGAACAGATACTACACTTGGTTACAGCCAAAAGGTCAAGAAGCAATTTATCCAGTTATTATTACTGTGTCTTTGTCTATCACTTTATAAGCCCCAATATAAAAAAACAAAATACTTTATGTCGTTTTACTGTATATTAGGCAGCGGCAAATTTTGGCTTCATAATTTAATTTGTGGTCAGTTCTTATTTGTGCCTTGTGGGTTGCTTTACTTTTTCGAATATAAAAAAAGAAAATTATCCTTCTTATAATCTATTAGTATAATCAGTATTCTGCTTGATTTATATTAGGATCTACACTGGTACTAAAATCTGTAATCTATAAACTTCATCTCAGCCTCTAAAGTGGCCTGTTCTTTAACTCTTCACATTCTGGGCATCAAAACAAATTACATTGTATGCTACACACTCAATTTCAACTTGCCCTTCGGACTTGCATTTTTAAAAACATTTCAGGCATGGGTTACACATGCCCTTGGAACCTGGTTGCTCCGGGTCTGAAACAGAAACTGTTATCACAGCAATGCTTACAGAAATCATAGACATGTATGAATTCATGAAACTATTCCGAGTGACGCAAATAATCATAAAACCTGTAAAAGTGATTTTAAAAATACTGTTCTTCTAGCTTAATCCTTCCTTCTGTTGTTGTGAAGAGCACACTCACTGACCCATTGTGGACCCCCTGCCTCTCCTTGTCCTGTGTGTGAGCACAAAGGTATTTGCACACCTGTTGTTGCTAGGCAAAGGCTGCATGGACAACGCATGCTCCAGAGCGGCACTCCAGCCCCTTCCCCAGGACCAAACATCTCAGTGTCTTCAGAGCCGGCCACTGTGTCATGGAGGAAGTACATGGCTGCTGAGAACTTGTCAGCGTGCCGACAGAACTGTGGCAGGCAATTAGGCTTTTAATTTAACACTAGATATTCCAGCTTAGAATTCAGTCCCCATGAGTTTCTCTCCAAGTTGCTTCACTGACATGTATTCAGTATCTCTTAATTCTTCCCTCAGTGCTTCT